TTTAAAAAATACAAATCATGGAAAAACATCTGGTAATTTCTCTAAATTATGTGTACTGTTGTTAAATATTTTAATAATATGTATTGATGTTTTAATTTGATTTAATTTTCTATCCAATAGATAGTGAAAGTTTGCAGTCTGAGGTTTCTGGTACACATATAGATAATTTACAAAATTATGCCTCATCATCTTCGTCGTCATCATCTAATTTTAATAAAGTATCAAATATGTTTCGTAAGTTAATTTGAATTTTTATATTTCAACTATAACATTTATGCAGTTTAATTTTCATCAATTAATGTGGTTTAGAGCATTCTAGTGAGAAAAACAATGATTTTTCTTTGAGTTCTTCTCCAACATCGTTTAAGATTATGAACAAATTTACTGGGTGAAAAAATCAGAAAAAAGGTAATACATCTTACTGTGGTTCATACTTTTATACAGTTGAAATTGTGAAACTGTTGGTTTTTCTACTTCTAAATAAATGTTTGTTTATCATTTTATTTATTGAATCTTAAAAACTTAATTTTCATAAGTCTCAAATTCCTATTTTTTTTATATATATTGCAGCTGATGCAGTAATTCAAATTTCAGTAACACTTGAAAAAAATTACAAATATTGTCCAACGTGTGGCTCTGCAGGTTAGGATATTATTTTATAAATATTGATATTTTTAATATTTAGGTGAACTTTTTGAATAACTGTTTAATAAAAATATTCATCACAGCAAAAGATGCCCCTTTATCAAAATCCGATCTTGAGTCAATGCGAAGAAGTATTGATTACCGCATAAAAGAAGAGGCCAAAATAACTAGAACGTTATTTACCGCAGGTAGTTCTTATGTTGATGTCGAAAAAATATTACTTGAGCAAAAAATGACTGATTTGCCAAAAATTGACTTATCAAGTTTTACACATTTTGATGATGCATTGAAAAACGACATTGAATTATTCAAAAAAATGGTAATTATAAAATCTTAATAATATGTAGAATTTTCTTTTATTCTATCATATTTTATTTTTTTTAGAAATGTTTCATGGTGTTGAACGTAAAAGGTTCTGTGAAGTTATCTGAAAACCTAACAACTGTAATTCCGAAAATAATATCGAAGGCTGTGCAACTTCAATATAGTGCTTTCGGCAGAGAATGCAACGGTGTCAAGAAATTAAACTTCTCTGAGACTGAAACCTACAAATTGTTATTAGGTATAATAATCTTAAAGGCTACTCTTAGATTCATAATACACATATTTCTGTCTTATTTTATGAATAATATATTTTTTCATTTAGAAGTGCTTAATACAAAGTTTCCTGATACCAACAACAAAGAAATATCAAGCGTGGTTAGTCGTTGGTTTTCCGGTGCGAAAGACAGGGATGGTGGTAAGAAGGAGAGAAGCTTAAAAAAAATGAAGTTCAATAAAAAAGATGATGTTGTCCATGATTAATAATTTATATTTAAACAATAATTGTTCAATTTTTTTTTTATTTTAATACAGTTTGTAATTTTTAATTTTA